TGTCATAATTGGTACGTTCACTTGATTCCTGCAACGTACATTTCTCTGATTGTAAAGCCCTGGGCAAACTAGGAAACATTGTTGCGGAAACATTTTTCCTGCCAATGTTTCGCCATGTTTCCCGAGTGGGCAAACACTATAGGAAACATTAGTGGGAAACATAGGGAAACATCAAATGTTTCTGAAATTGCTATAGGAAATATTTTTGCTTCTCGGGAAGCAAATTTTGTTTCCGCAACAATGTTTCCACGGGTGGGCAAACAGGGAAACATTTGAGGAAACATCGAGAATCACAAATGTTTCCACAACAATGTTTCCTAGTTTGCCCAGGGCTTAAGCAATTAACAAGTAAACTAACTCTGAGATCAGTAAATCTTGTATTACTGCACCGCATTAAATAGTGCTGTTCGTATCTGACCTTGTTTAAATTGCAATAATGTTCGCAAATTCGTTTATCGTATGGAACATAGCAGTGAGATTTACAATGACCTTGCATTATATATAGGTGGTTGCAGTGATAGCGAAGTCCAAGGTCTGGAAGCCAATGACCTGCAGTACATTTCAACCGAGGCCATCGGAGCATTGCCGCCCAACAAATTCAAGCTGTTGTCCGCTGAGATTATAGGGCAACTGGATGCAGAACAAGCACAGAGCGTAACTGACGCACAGATAGCACAGTTATCTCAGGACCAGAAAGATGCACTGGTAAATGCCGAGAAGTCTGGTGATGGTGATGGCGATGGCGATGGTGATGGCGATCCTGGTGTTGATCCAGATAATGGTAAATGCTTTGTTTTAGCCACTGATCTCGATAGTCCTATATTAAGGCCGTTGTATATTCAGTACAATCAAGTCTGGTTTACACTATCTGTGATCACAGTAGAAATTTTGCATAGGGAAATTCTAAGTTTTGAGGGATTTCTAAGAAATATTTAAGAGGAAACTGACTCAATGTTAAATCTTCAGTCAGTTCTCTCAAACATTTCTTACAAATCCTTCAAGAAAACTTGAATTTACCGATACAAAATTCCTACTGTGATCACAGAAACTTTGATAGTCGGTAAACCAGACTTTCGTCATATACATTTGTCATTCTGCCACAATTCCTCTTCATTTAGTTTATGGTGATTTACATTACACAAATTTTGCCTAAAAGGGGGGGGGGGTGTATAGGTTTTCGGATCGTCGGATTTCACAGAAAAAATTGTTCGCATTTCGGATCTGGCGAATATTTTACACGGATTTGCGGATCTTATTAATACAGCGGATTGCGGATTTATGTAATATTTTGGCTCGGATTGTGGATTTAGCTTGCAATTTAGTTCGGATCCTGGATTGTGACTTCATAGTAGAGCTTTTAGCGGATTCAAATTTAGACAAGACCATTGTCGGATCGCGGATTTTGCTTCAAATTTGGGCAGATCGGCGGATTTGTACACCCCTTCACCCCCCCCAAATCTCAGCTTCACTTTTTGAGTTGTACTGTGTAAATCTAGCACATACAACTCATCTACAACAACGTAGGCAAGTTGTGTGCTTGATTTACACAGTACAACTCAGCGGTTGTAAGCAGGTTGCATGCGACAGTTTTAGGCAAACGTTGTGCAGTGTAAATCGGGCTTCACGCATATTACATATCCCTGAACTGAAGAATTGTCTCGGAGAGGGTCACACAGTGCGACATTTTCAAGCAACAAGGGGCTGAGAAAATGGAATGACTTTTTCTTCGTCCGCGACAAGACTTAAGGTGGAGTAATACGGGCAACAAAATTGCTGCAACTTGCAACAAAATCTGATTTCTACGCATGTTGATTGAAAATGTTTACACACATAAACTAGAGGGCACTCAGAGACTGCATACCTCCGCCCGTTACTCGGAAGTGAAACGCAACCTTGGAATTTCCTAAGAAATCCACTTTATAATTCTTAAGCATAAAAGATTTCAGGCCCCCGCGAATTGAAATCGAATTGCTAATAGAACATATTACTGTTGTTGTACTGTACAGTACTTGTAAAATAAAAACTTATTAAGTGTCATTAAATAAATACATAAATTTTGCTTTATGCACTCGCGCGTGCAGTAATTTTCACAGTTGTGCTATTTTAAATTCCCAGGCAGCTAAAATCTTTTGTCTTTAAAACAATGTCGATTTCTTGGGAAATTCCGAGGTTGCGTTCTTTTTATACACCCTGTATTGAAGTAATCTAACGTTGTTAGAATTTGAATGGACTGGCACTTTGCTGAACGTAATAATGCGTAACTCCGTAAGCCTTGTTTTAGACATTGAATTTCGGTCGCGTGAAATGCAACTAAGACAATAGATAATGAAGGCCGAAGCTTAATGAGGTTTATCATCTCATTATTGTCTTAGCACTGAGTGCATAAATTATGCACGTCCTAATTACGCATTCAGTAATATTTTTTGTTAATTGACCGGGAAAAGCAAGACAAAATTTTGTTCATTTCTCGTTCAATTTTTAACCAAATTCAACCAAATTTTAATCAGTTCTTCCTTAGCCGATGGGAAATGCATTCAAAAAATTTCTTGAGTTATCGTGCTCACAGACAAACACACACACATACACACACACACACACATACACACATACAAACCCAGATGATTACATAACCTCCTGGCGGAGGTAATTACAAATCACGAGGCAACATGTGTCGACATTTCTACTTAACATGCGTTGAAATCGGATTTTGTTGCAAGTTGCAGCAATTTTGTTGCTCGTATTACTCCAGCTTTTAATATGATGCACAATGAGATTTGTCCCCATGACAACTTCCTGCAACTTGTGGCCTCGTGTGACACAAACCACGTTTGTTTTGCAATACATAGTTTATATAAAATTCATGTCTAGTTACTTTTAACAATTATTCTTCAATTCTTTCCAGGTTCAATACAATCCGTATTTGGATTCATCTCCCTTCTTCTGCCGCTGCTGTGCGCCCAACTTCTGATCTAACGGAAGACATTACGAGGAGTTTCTCCCTTCTTTATTTATATCATAATCGTAGGTGCACAAACTTTCATATAAGAATTTCTATTTATAATACAGTGAATTTTAATAAGCAAAGTACAGTGTAGCAACTCTCCATAGAATTAGAAATTTAAGCACTTTCTCCATATATATGCACAACCCCATGATTAACATAATTCTCGTCCAATAACCCAACCCTCACCCTATAAGCTTAATCTTCACCCTAATCCTATCACCTAACCTGAATCCTAACCCTCAACCTATAACCTAACCGTAACTCCCACCATATAACCTTAATCCTAACACCTAATATTTGCGATATAACTTCGATTCGTAGTACAACAGGACGACGCTTTTTTGGATTGGGGGCTGTCAAAGTCATTAAGAGGGGAGGGGGTTAGTCCCTGCCCCAGCCCCTGGTTCGATCCATTTTCCTGAAGAATGAATCGTCGGACCAAAGCGCTATACAGTATTGTAAACTTCTCGTGTAGATATACTATAAATATATTTATGAGGGATTTATGAGTGCAATGTATATTTTAGTGAAGTAAAGAACTGTTTCATTATTTACTGTTGATATACTACACATATTATGTATCTACTATTTATAAGAACTTATTGCATTACTCTGATTAGCTGTATTAATTGGTGAAATTAATCAGTTTCTGTATTTTATGTTCCTGAGTTTGTCTTGTTACAGAAAACGTCCAGTGCCGACAAAATTACATAAAGTAAGCGGCGATTAACGACCGCTGCCAATGATTTATAACATGATTGTGGACTCGTATTTTACAAATAGGCGGGAATTTTATTCAAAATAGTTAAAAAAAAATACAAGAAACAAGACAAAACCGTCGCAAAAGTCACAGAAGAAGGCAGTTTTTCGTGAAATGTCTACGCTAAACCAAAGTGTAGCTGTTTGGCAATTATATATCAGTGTCAATTCGTGTATTAATGGGCCCCACTTCGTCTTCGAGAAATCTTCCCGTGCAAGGGTCCAAAAATATATTCTGTTTTCGCCAGAAAGCATAATAACGTTTGAAGAATGAAGAGTTCATATTGTAACACATTCACAGGGAAGATAGCGATTGAAAATGCAAGGTAAGCGTTTTCATTATAATTGTTTTACTGAGAAATGTTCACTCCACATTTTGGATAGCTAGTTTGTACAGGGGGGGGGGGGGGTGGGGGACAATGGAAAATCCAGGGGGAGGGGTGTAAAAAAGGCCTTTGAAATCCAAGGTGAGGGGTAGGAAAAAGACCGCAGAATTCCAGGGGGTGGTCTGCAGTTAAAGTCATTTTCCAGGGGTATCAGGCAATGAATTTCTAGGAAATTCCAGGGAAGAGGGTATATAAACTGAATTCCAGGGAAGAGAGTATATAAACTGAATTCCAGGGGGTCACAAGTTAGTGGTAAAAAGATGTCCTCAACCCCCCCCCCCCGTGCAAAAAATAAATGCAATCAGCCATTACTGGAAAATGTCTGGCAGCGCCAAGTCCAAGAACCAAAAAAGTGGATAGTCCAAGAACCAAAGTGGTACGGGTACCAATTTTATCTGTAAACCGGGCTTGAATCTTATATACTCAAATGCCGTATAATTTACTTGTTTAAAAAGTTTAAAAGCATTTTGCAAGTCGAGATTTTCTTGTGGCTGAGATTGATCACATGTGCAGCACCATCAGTTCTCTGAAATCTACGATGCAGGAAGTTTTATAATTGACTTACACAGGAAATTTTTAGTTTGGGATTTTGTTGCCATGAAGAGAAATATATTTTCTAGGCCTGCAAGATATCCAATGCTTGTTAACTTTCCTCTGTTATATGTTTCAGATGGGCCTGGGGTCCATTGTATGAAGGCCAGATAGCGCTATGCATCGGATACTGTTATACCGCGTTTCCAAAACAGAAACCCAGCGAATACACATGCAATGATAAAAACACACAACAAAGAAAACACACAACAATATGTGATACGTATTTTTTATCTTTTATTGGAAATTACAAGACATTCTCAGAATTTCTCAAAAGATTTCTTGGACTTCTTGCCCTTGGACACCTTCAATACGTTGAATCTGACGGTCTTGCTGAGAGGACGACACTGACCAACTGTCACTACATCACCAATTGCCACATCCCTACAAACAAAACCAACAGCATGAAAAACATTTAGAGCTGAGAAAATACACTTCCAAAAGGAATGTTTGTAAATTCTTGAGTGTTCGCGGTTAGTGAGGTGTAAAAAAAAATACCTGTGGTTCCGGTTTCATATCGTGAAAAAATTAGGGTCGGTAGGTAGGAAATAAATTTTTTAAAAAATTGTTTTTTTCATGGTTTTGGTGGTTTTTTGCTGGGCAATTTGCAGTAGAGTCCCAACATCAATATTAACTAGAGAAGAGTATTTCCTATGGATGAATTTAGGCAATTTGCTTCAATAATTAGTGTGACAACAGACGTAATTTTGGCACGCTGTATTAGCAGCCCGCAACCACCCGGAAAAAATAGGGTCGCACAGTCAATTGTGTTGAAAAAATAATAGGGTCAGCAGAAAAGAATAGGGTCGGTCAGGAACCGGACCACAGGTATTTTTTTAGGCCTCGGTAATATTGAAACAAAATTGCACTTTGCCAAAATCACGGCACTAGTTCAACGCTCTCTCACAAAACTTACAACTTTCAAATGCACTTTCAAATGCAAAATTCTATCCAGCTCCTTTGAAACTCTAAAATATTGAGTACGATACATTCAAAACAAGTATGACACAACAAATTTATCTCACCTGAAGCAAGGTGAGATGTGGGCGGACAAATTTTTATGTCTCTTCTCAAATCTGTTGTATTTCTTGATGTAGTGAAGATAGTCACGACGAATCACGATCGTTCGCTTCATTTTCATCTTCTCGACGATTCCCGTCAAAATACGACCTCGGATACTGACATTGCCAGTGAACGGGCATTTTTTGTCAATGTAGTGCCCTTCAATTGCCTAGACGAGAAAATAATGCCAGACTGCTGTTAGTCAGAAAAAATATTTGGCAATTTTATAAAATTGAGAAATTCAATTCGCCACAAGTTTTCTTAAGAAGGCCAGAGTTTTCTTAAGAAATGTCCGACCTAATCTAGCTAAGATTTAAACGCTACCTCTTTAGGTGTTTTGAAGCCAAGACCAACATTCTTGTAATACCGAAGTTCCTTCTTCTTGACCGGTTCACCAAGAGACAATACTCTCTTCTTGTTTTGAAATATGGGAGGCTGTTTTTGATAAGCTCTCTCGGTCTGTTGAGAAATGAAACTACGGTAAGGCGAAAAAAATACTTGCGTTTCCCATTCTTGTCTCTGGCATGCCCCTGGACATGACATTTTAAAGCAAAATTTAAAAATCAAATTGGGAACATGTATCCACTATTACTGGGGATGTCTGTAAGTCAATTCAATTTTATGTTACGGCTGTCATGTTGGTCGTAGTTCTGAGTTCAACAAAAGAATCTCACTACCATTCATTGAATTTGGCACCAACATGGCCGCTGTTTTACCATCTTCTAATTGATTGCAATCCACCAACAGACATTATTCTTTCAATGTTTCACATTTGGAAAGATTAATTGTAAAACCTAGAGTTTTGGAGGAGGTATGGATGTTTTCTGAAATGACCCAGATTGGGTCATTTCAGAAAACATTGATACCTCCACCATGGAGGAAATTGGAAGTTAACCCCCCCCCGGATTTCTTAATACAGTTACTATTAGACAGATTCATTTGCCCCTGCACATCGGTAATATTTGGTCATAGAAACACCAATAAATTTGCACACCTCTTAAGCCCAGAAAAAAACAGGGTTGATCGCCTGCATATTTTGTAAACTTTCCAATCTGTGGGAGGGTAGGTAGGGTTTTACGTCGGACGTTAGCGTGCTTTACAGTCTACTGTAACAGAGTAAATTTGTGTATTTGATGGTGTGTACTCTGGCGTATTTTCTTGTATTCTAGGACGTGTATATATATAGTCATTGGTTTCTCGGTATATACTTTTACTAAAAATTTGAGTTCATTTTTAACCATTTTTGTTAATATTATACTTTCTCAACTATTCAAATAGACTCCTCAACCGCACTACCACAAAAATATACGCTCTTTTTGACTCTATGTTCAAAAATATTCAAAACAAGTCACTCATCAATTTCAAAATTTCAACCCCACTACAAAACCATCTCACAACCCCCTAGCGCTTCCAACAACAAAGAAAGAAAGCGGTACACTTAGAAGCATCTTTTAATATTAAGAACACATTAAAACGTAGAAGAAAAAAGCATTCTTAAAGCGAAAATCGACGAGAAAAAATCTCAAACAGACCTGCTCCATTATGGCGGATGAAAAGAACGAGGGAACCACGTGTATCGTCCATCATGCTTCGCGAACTAAAATCCAATATGGCCGTCAAAAATCATCGAAAAATTGTTCATTTCTAAAGTTTTTTGCATATTTTTGTTTATATTTACGCTTTGGGTGGTGGAATTTGGTTGGGAGGATATAGGTATATAGCCATGGATCAGAAGTCTTATAAAATGTACGTATATGAGATGGAAAGGGCAAAATATCACATATATAAAACCGTTTTACTTATTATTGCAGTATTTTATAGAACCAATTATTTGCAATTTCTTTATCATCCTAATTCTTAATACTTCTTGCATGATATCTAGTCTAGTTTGTGGTGATGTAAATGGAAAGTTAAAGACATTATACACAAGAGTTGCCAATATCCTCAAGAAATCTGGTGATTTTGAGGTAAAATCTTGTTGAAGATATTTGGAACTTGATAATTTCCAAGTTGATCAAGAAATGTTTTCATTACTAGATGTTGCTCTGTGTTGGAAAATTTTTTGGTACGACAGAAGAGGACAAAAAAGTCTGGCAGGAATTCAAAGATGGCATTTCAAATGGTACAAAACCAGAATGAACATTACATGTTCTCCTGTCGGAGTTAAACGGAGTTGACCTCGTCAATTTTTCACAGTGGCGGAAATCTCGGGGGGGGGGGGGTTGTCGGAAATTTGAAGGTTTTGTCGGAAATTTAGGAGGCTTTGCCCCCCCACCTACCTCCCCCCCCACGGAAAAAGTGAACTTCAGCTACTGATTTTTCATCTCACTATCCACAGATCTTTGCCAAAATTTGATCTCAGAATTGAAAGCTTCAAGCTCACATTTAGTCTATACCAAAAAAATCACGTAGTTTGGACATTCAGGTCGCAAGTAACAGCGTTCTAAAAATTGTGGTTTCCCTACATATTTAATATATTGAATTTCTTCTGAAAATGTTTTCTGAAAGTTATCATATGATTTTCTT